AAGTGTTGACAAAACCGCCGGGTGTCAATTATCAATCTTCGTTTCGATATTTTCATTCGATTCGATATCAAGTAAAATTATCGATACTTTTCTTTCGATACTTACTCATATCGGTATATTCATTCGATTCGATACCAAATAAAAGTATCGATACTTTTCTTTCGGTACTACTACGTCCTTATTCATATCTTGACGACTTGTTAAAAGTGTTGTGTGCGGGCGGTTCAACCGTAAAGATGAATATGTGATAGAATAATTCCAATAAAAATAGTCAAACTAAATAAAACCGTTTATTAAAATATTTTATTAGTACACGTAATTTAATTAAATTAACAAATATACTGGCGTGGAGGTGCTCGCTAAAACACGTCTTAAACACATCTGATATTGGTCTATTCGGGACTCCCTTATATACTCCGTTTCTCATAGTTGACCCGGACCTAGTGAATGCTAAACCACTCATCCTATGCGATTCACCTTGTCATTTAGATTGATGTTACTTGTGTTTCGTGCGCTCAACCCTAGATTACCTATATGTAACCAGTTGTCCTCGTGAATTCCGCATTTTGTATATGTCATACCGGTGCCTTTCTATAATGGTTTCAGTTTATTATGTACTAATTGTCTTCTCTACCATATAATTAGTAAGGACCTACATCTCCGTAATATATCATACTGATGTCTTTCTGTAATTGTTGGTTTGGGTTAAAATTACACCGGTTATAAAATTTTATATTAATGGACTGTATGATGTATAATAAATAAATTATTTTGTTGCGTTATGAAATAATATATTTAATTTGAATTTTGTTAAAAAGCCTTTTTATTCCATGTGCGGAGTCGGCACCTTTACAATTTAAAATACTTTTTCCGACTGAATATAATAAAATCAAAGGCCCATCGGTACACTAGACCGGTTAGGCCGATAACGATACCGACGCGGACACAATCGATAACATAATACACATATCATATAATTTGACAATATTGAACATTGATATCTATAGGTAACAGTAATAGTTATTTTTAATGTCACACTTTGGAATATAGCCATACGATTCACATATAATATGTGCTCGTGTTACCCTCTAATAAAATTAATAGTTCCTTAATAGAATGTTGCGATTATTATATTATTTATAATCATTTCCCGATCTCTACTATTACGATTTATGTTGTCCCTCCTATGTAGTAAAAGTCGTAGGGACCTACATTTATGTATCTATGTCCATAACAAGAATAGTGATCAGCAATTACAAACCAGATATATCCAAAATAATGAAAAAACGATATCAGTATAAAAATCCACACTAATTTAAAATAAATATTTAATTTAATTTTTTATAATACATTTTCAAATGTTATACAATATACACAATTTATATATTTATTTTTAGTTTATTTTTTTATTTTTCGTTCCGTTCATTTCGACTTGCGACCCTTGTAATATATTAAAATATTTATGTGGCCCAAACAAAAAAAAAGTTGAGTATGGCTGATTTAGAGCTACAGTCTACAGTAGTCATAGTCTTCTGCCCCATAGAATATAGCTAATCTGCCCCACTAATCGGTGTAGCACATGCAAAATTATGGTTACAGCACAGAGCATAATATGTTTTATGGTTACTGTTTATCAAAAAATGATAAGCACTAATCAACAGAAACTCCAAGCCAACTATTATTTTGAACGGTGTTGGAAATTGTGTATATTTTGTTTTGTCGTTATAACTAATCACAACTGTAACTTTCGTGCGCATGTACCTATTATTGTTGTACTTGATATTTTATTCCGGTTCAGTTGTTTAAAATGGTTTCTTCACTACCTCCTAAACCAACAATTTTCTTCCGTCTATAAAACTCTATACCGCAAGCCATTGATCGACTGAACACCTTAATAATAATTGGATACATTAATACGTAAATGTTAATAAATGGTACCTAATAGTTATTACTTCCTAATGTACAAACATTAGATCATAAGTGAGTTTTCTATAAATCAATATTAACATTTACTACAAAACTAAAAGTATATTCAATAAATATTTTCAAATTTATTTAAGTTGTATTGAATTTTTTTTATAACAATTCTTTTTTATTATTATTAAATATTTTAAAATATTTTACTTGTGTCATTAAACGAACTCGCATTTTCATTAAATTGGACAAAAATAGATGTTCTTTAGTAACCTTTGGAATGGCACGTGCATTACCAGGATGAATTACATCAGCATTATAGGCTTCAATATAATGAAACCAACTGACACATTTTCGATCAGGATTCACCTTAAATTAATATATTTAAACATTACAACATTATTCATACTAAATAATAACAAAAATATTACTTTAAGATATTTATTGTCATGTAAGCAGTTTCTTATATTTTTGAAAAGGTGTGGAACATCTGATAACACAAATACTTTTCTGTGTTCCTGAGTAGGATGTATAAAATAGTTTTGGACCGCTCCTAATTTACCACTAATCCCAAATTGGGTCCACATTTTTCGGTTTGTAGCAGCACCATCACAAATTATACCATCAATAAAGCAACCAGAAGATTCTAACATCATTATAGCTTTTAATACAAGCTGGGCCAATACAGTTCCTGTAATATTAAAATTTGAAATAAGTTAATTTAAAAATAAATACAATTTAAAAAAAATTACCTTTAACCGAATTGGAAGATGCAAATACAGCAATAGGCTGAGAGAATTTATCTGCTAGACCTTGAAAAAAAAAAACTAACCCATGGTCAGCTTTATTCTCTGAAACATCAGTTTCACCCCCCATATCTTCTAAGCCAGAATAAGTTAAATCTCGTGTGTTTACATTTAGGCCTTTTCTTAGTTGAATTTCGTCAAACAAGAGAACTCCGTGTCGTTGTTCCAGAGATTTATGAGACATCCTTTTTTTGAGTAGCTCAAAAAACTGGAGATCAAATCCACAATTAGTTTTGACCATAGATAAATGTTTGCGAATCGTAGAGGTACAGGGCAAAGGCATTAGATCTTGTTCCCGAAGAAAACGATATGCACCAGGTGAACGAATGTTAAACAACAAGCAGAGTAACATCCAGTTTTCGGGGTAGCGACGGTTTTTAGGGTTTTTGTACTTGCTAGCTGCAACTATTTCTCTAACTAAAGTAGACTGGGAATTATTTAAATTATTTTTAATTATAAGATCATTAACTGAGCTCTCTGATAAATGGTTTAGTTTTTCCTTAACTTCATTTAACTGATCTTGTAAATATTGTATTCTATGTTTTGCTCTTAAAACTTGTTTTTGTATAATATGCTTTTTATTGCGGTGCTCATCAAATTGTTTTTTTTTTTGTAGGCGATAATAATAACCTAGTCGATTTGCCAACAGACAACCTTGATTTTTTTATACGAAATGTTCTTCTTAAGTTTTTACAAAATGAACATTTATTTTCAATAGATGATTTATCAATTAAAAAAGGACATTTTTTATGTATCCAATGGTTTTTAAAAACTATATCTGCACATTCAACTGATATATTTTCAAATTCTTGAACTAAAGGCCCACCTGAGCATATTTTTTTAGAACTTAAAATAATCATAATTGAAATCAAATCATCCAACGAAGAAATATTTGAATTTCCACACAAATCTTGAAGGTTTATATTCTTTTCATATATATTACATTTCAAAATCATGTCTGAATCTAAAAAAATCTGTTTTTCAATGCTAATTCCAGCTTTATTGTTAAAAAATTTTACTGTATAAAATATAATATATGGTTTCTTTCCTCTATGTATCTCATATTTCCAATTATCTGGAAGTGTGATTGACTCAAGATCACAGCATATTTTTTCAAACTTTTGAGCGGTGGACAAGACTGAAGATTCTTCAGAAAATTCTGGATCAATATCATTACTACTAGAATGTTCCGAAATTTTAGATTCAGCCTATAAAAAAAAAAAATATAAAATGTAATATATAATGTATACTAGGATATACCTATATAACAAAACTTCAAAATTAATTATAAAATTGATATACAATATTTAAATATGATACCAACAGTCAAATATTTTATTCATAATATTTATGTATAATTATGTAATATTTATGTAGGTATTGAACCTGATTAATTAATATTTTTAGTAACGTTAAAAAATTTACCTCTACTACTTCAATGTTTTTAGAAGAGATTAATGAACTATCTCGCTTTCTAGGAGACTTTCTTTTAGTTTGTGGATTCGATAAATATTTTGGGCCAGGAAATATGCAAGGGATAGCATCTTCTTTTAGTTTTGGATACTTCAAATTTATCTGAAAAACATTGTTCATTTAAATAAATAGTTAATCGGATAAATAAAAAAAAAAAAAAATAAGAATTATTCAGTTTTAATTTTAAAATGTAAATTATCTAAATACTTACACACACTTGTTTATCACCAACCCCTGAAGTCCATGTTCTAATAATTTGATCAGCAGTAAAATGACACTCACAAATTGCTGAATTTTTAGTGACAATCAAATCTTTTCGGGGTATTTTATTTATCCACTTTTTCTTTAAATTTTCATCCGTAGGAAAAGAAAAAGTAGATGCCTTAATTGTACTATAGTTAGACTTATATCCAGTTTTGCAACCGACTACGCAACATGAACGAGGCATTATCCACTATAATAAAATACTGGACCATTATAATTTATAAGTAGAATAAAGTAAATTCAGTGTTGTGAAGTAATTGAGTAAAAGTATTCAAATATTTCTTTAATAATTTAATACATATTTGAAAATATTTTAAATACTATTTCATTGTATTGAATACTACTTAATAATTATAACTATAATTTACTAGGTAGTTGATATTAAAAAAATAGTGTAAACTTTGTCTCAATAAAAGTACTACTTAAAAATTACAAAAAAGATTTTGATGATAATTTTACCTATTTCAATACTATTTTTTAAGATATTTTACAACACTTTTATTTTACATAATATTGCAACGACTAGTTCAAAATTACATACCTGAATAAAAAAAAGCTGTATAATGCACCAGAAAAGTGGAAACTTCAAACTTTAAATAAGGCCGTGATTTAAACTTTACTGTTGTCTGTTTACTGTTATAAGACTTACCTATAACTTAAATACTTGATAATATAATAAATAAAATAAAGCTATATAAAGCTATATAAATAAAGCTGTATAATGCACCAGAAAAGTGAAAACTTCAAACTTTAAATAAGGCCGTGATTTAAACTTTACTGTTGTTTATTGTTTAAAATTATCACTATAGTCTATAATCTATAACCCTACTTGCCACTAGCGCTCTAAAGATGCGGTGAAAATGTATACTAAATCCGTATCGCGTACTGACCGCAACTGCCAATGCTATTTAGATAGACGATAGCTAACCTGTATATCTTTAACCGTGGTCTACAGTAGTCATAGTCTTCTGCCCCATAGAATATAGCTAATCTGCCCCACTAATCGGTGTAGCACGTGCAAAATTATGGTTACAGCACAGAGCATAATATGTTTTATGGTTACTGTTTATCAAAAAATGATAAGCACTAATCAACGGAAACTCCAAGCCAACTATTATTTTGAACGGTGTTGGAAATTGTGTATATTTTGTTTTGTCGTTATAACTAATCACAACTGTAACTTTCGTGCGCATGTACCTATTATTGTTGTACTTGATATTTTATTCCGGTTCAGTTGTTTAAAATGTTCAACGATTCCGATCCATGTGATCGCAGCTGTACGAAATTGGCTACTGTATTTCCTTCGGTTTCAAAACTACACAATTTGAATACATGTTTGAACAATTTAACTGCACTAGATTTGAGCTCCAGTAGTTTATGCGAAGTACCCGAAATCGTCGGAAACCTGGGAAATATTGTTGAACTCAATTTATCATCAAATGAATTAACTACACTGCCGCTTACATTTGTCAAGCTTCAACATTTAACACGTTTAAATTTATCACATAACAATTTTGTAGCGATTCCTCAATGTTTGATGAATGGAATGGACCACTTAGTTATACTTGATTTGTCTCATAACCAGCTTTTAAATATCAACACAAAACCACTCTGTGTTCAACACTTACGGTCTTTAAATATCAGTTACAATTTAAAATTGAATAGTCTTCCACTTTGGTTATGGTCAATTGAATGTACTTCAATAGAGTCGTTAAATTTATCCTTTACATATTGTCTAGATAATATTCAAGCAGATCCTTATTTGAACATGTACGGCATTGCCAGACATTTGAAGTATTTGAATATTTCATGTACTAACGCTGATGTTCTTAAATTAGATTTCATCAAACATTTAAAAAATATTAGATCCCTTGTTTTGGATAATAAAGATACAAAAATAAAACAACAACATAATTTTTTCATTAAAGTACCATTGGTATTTAATTATAGATTTAAATTGATCGATTCATTAAGTATGTCTAATGTTAATTTATCAAGCATTGGAAAACGTGTATATTTCAGTTTACCAAATTTACGGTTGTTGAATTTGTCCAATAATGCTATTGTTTTGCTACCAGATTCATTGAGTCAATTGACAAATTTAGAAGTATGTGATTTTTCAAACAATCAAATTTTAACAGTTCCTGAAAGTTTCAGAAATTTAAAAAATTTGAAAACATTAGTATTGAATAACAATTGGGTATGTATAAAAAGGTAATGATAATTATTTATTTTTTTAATTTAATTTTTTAATTTTAATTAGTTATTATCATTTCCAAATATCATTACTCACCTTATGAAATTGGAGTTTTTGGATTTATATAATAATAAATTAGATGCAATTCCATTGTGGGACATAAACAGCAGTATTAAATCAGTTGACTTTGAACAAAATGTATTTTCTACAGAAAGCATTACTGAAGTAAGTATAATTATAAAAAATAAGAATTATGTACAAAATAATTATTTTTTATAAAATATTAGTAAACAGAGTTTAGAATTTATATCTTCTGCTTTATTGATTTTCGCCTCAATTATAATTGGCCAAATAGTTTACAATATTTACTGTAAGACTTCATAATTATATTTTTTATGTATTTTGATTTAAAAAATAATAATTAAAGTGTAAATATTACTTAATTTATATCATTGTAAGCTAAAAAAATAATCATAAAATTTATACTTCTATTGCTAAGACTTATTTATGTTTTCCATAAAATTATATTTAAGCCTTTCTTTTTAGTAAAGCAACTAACGGATTTGTATTTTTTATTTTATTTTTATTTCTCAGTAACAAGAATACTGGACCCCACTAAGATTCTTGTGTGGAGACCTAGGAGTTTAACTTATAACAAAAACATATACATTTTAATATCAATGTTCAATAATTTGTATAATTTGAATTTTAAACTAATAGCTAGGTAATTTAAATGTATATACTTAAAACAATATTACACAGTGCTTAAAAAAAACTTATAACTTATAAACATAAACTTAGAAATTAATAATTACAATTGACATTAGATTACTGCTAGTATATTTTATTTTATTCCATTACAAAGACCTGTAAAATCAGTACTTATTCACCAATGAGTTATATCTATTAAAATTAATAGGGTTTGAATTTAATATGTTTTCCGGAAACACGTTTGCAATTTTAGATCCTGCGTTTTCTTATTAGTATAAAAATTATGAATATCTTTAGGCATAATCTAATTTTTGCAAGGCTTGACCTTCTAAAATATTGACTTGCATTGGTCCTACATAGAAAAATATCCTGGTATCGTTAGATATACTAATTTTAGTCTTTTACTCTCTTCTTATATTTGAGACATACCCAAAATACCTTCTCTTCTGAACTCTCTCCCTAGTGCTCAACCACTACATAATTTGGGATTTTCAGCACTAATTATGTTTTAATAATTTCATTGGTTAGCTGATTAATCAATACCTGTGCCATAACACAATTTTAGTTGGTAATTACACAGAACAGATTGCATTTAATTTATTTTGTGATATTTATTCAAAAAAACTTGTTAGTTATCTGCTGATATTATTTTAGCTGATGAAGGAGTATGGATGTAGTCTGTTAGCTTAGAACTTGTACATTAGAAATCATAGTAAACAGTCTTATATGTTAAGACTGAATTTAGGGAAATTCAATGAAATTATACCTATGTGTTTATCCATTTAAATATTATACTACATTATATTATACTCATTTTACATTTTTCTAAAAAAATTATTCAATTTTGTTTTGTTTTATTAGATAAATTATTCAAAGCTGTTAAAAAATCTACGATTGTCTATAAATGAAAATCGTATTATAGGACCTTTACATGTTGAAGATTCTAATGATCTAGAATTTTCAAATGAAAGTGTTGAATCAAGTGAGTATTCATAAAAATATATTTTTCAATTACCTAATACTTATAAATATTATAAAATCAAATTAATTTTATGTAAAATTTATGAATATTATATTATTTCTTTAAATAATTTTCTAGGCAGCTATTTTGATTGCAGTTCGTCAGAAAATAGTTTTCATGAGTAAGTAGATTTCAAATATAATAAAATACTGATTTTTAATTTATAAATATAAAACTATTTTATAATATATTTGTATCAAATGAGTTTGATCAATGGTTTTTCCAATAAAAATTTTTAAATAATGAAATAATTAAATAATTTGTTTTAAAATCTTAAAACTGAAATGTGTTAAGAATATATAAACATTTAAAAACTGATTTAGTTTAATCTTTTTAAATTATTTACAATAGTTATATAAGCTAAAAATAATAAAGGGAGTAAATTTAATATATTTTTAAGGTCTTGAAATTAACATATTTGTAAAAATATTTGGTAAAAAAATGTATAATTTTATATTGATTAAACCCTCATAGTATCAGCTTATCTTATCATATTTTTATTTCTGTTAAAAAAATAAAATAATTTATTTAATATTTTTAGAGGAAATCAAGAGGATACAAATTTTACTCCTGAAGAATGTTGGGAGTGCAATTCATATGAGCATACCACTGCTGTATTTGATCCTAAAGGTTAATATTTATTTATTTAATCTTACCAATTTTTAATTACACTACATTTTTTAATTGTATACATTTTAGAATTTGAAAAGAGTTTATTTGATGAATTAATAAAATTAAACTCAATAACTTATGAAGAAATAACTAAAGAAAAAAATATTTTCCACAACGTCGTATATTTAACTAATGAACATTATTTTTGCCCAAATGATGAACTTCCTAAAATATAACCCAGTATATTATGGTATTTGTTGAAAATCTTTATAGTCTTATGTAAGTATTTGTTTTTATCATAATTTGATTGAGGACAACTGTCCTCATTTTTTGAGCCATGGTCCATCCAAAATAAAAAAAATTAAAATATTTATTACTAATCGTATTATAAAAACCAACTAGGATTACTATTATTTTGAAATTTTAATCATTATTTATTGACATGTTCATTTAAAGAATAAATGAGCTAAAGAAGAAATATATCTGAATAAAATTATTGTCAACAATAACTATAAAACTAAAACACTTGAATAAAACAAAATTTTACCGAATATGCGATATGATATTTGTTTTTCTTAAATTAAAATAATTGTTATTTGTTTAAATTGTGTATACAAATATTTATTATACTTATCATACTTATTATTAGTTTATACAACAAGTACTTACAAAATTTATTACATTGATTATTGAAAATATTGTTTGAATAAGTATATCAAATTTGCAAATATATTTATTAGTTTAAAAATTAGAGAATAATGAAATTTAAATATTTAATTTAAAATTATTATTATTGTTATTATATGCTTAATGTTACCAAGTTAAATAATGTAATATAAAGAAGTTTTAGATAAGTTGATTTTTTTTATTTATTTTACTTTTGAATAAAACAACTGGCACTCACCGATTGATATTATACTATAGGTCTTAATAGAATATTAAAGAAAGTATAATACTTGTTGGTGACGAACATTTATTCCTTGAATATTAGTTAATGACAAAAATGAGATTTATAAGGATAATAATCATATACAGAACAACTTGTAATAATTACTATCTTGAGAAGTGTAGATAAGACAAAAGATGAAAAACAAATAGATGATGGCTATTCAACTGGTATATATAGAGGCAATAATGCTCGTAAGTATTCTTTATAATTTAAATGAAGATTTTTTTGAAATTCGACAGAATTGAAAGCTAAGTGGTAGTAATCAGCAATCCTTAATGGTAAAATTATTGAATAGAATTTTGTGTATTAAATTTTAAGCTTCATATTTTGAAATGTTTTATTAGGTTTAGTAGAAAGTGAATTTTCAATAGGATAAGATATGATGGTGCCAATTATATCAGTGGAAAGGTTCAAGGAATAAAGTCATATATTTAGTGTAAATATCTATGTACACTGTGATACACATTTATTAAATCGTGCAGTTTCAGCAGAAAGTAACAAAAACTAAAAAGTACAATTAAGTAAATAAAGTCTATTGAAAATTGGTTAAATATAATTGAAAAAATCTATACATTTTTTAACACACCAATACGAAGTGTGGTTATATATCATGTTATTGACATTGAAAATATAGTCGTAGATGGGAGTACAGACTTCATTAATCACAATAAGGAAATTCTTAAACTCCTTTTTATTTATTCCATAATTAAGAAAATGGTAAAATAAATTGATCTGTAAAATGTTTACATTTCAGGGTTTACCAAATATAAATATTTGCTAACAAAGTCTACAATCGGAAATGATGGTTGCTAAAAACTATTTAAGAAAACCTGAAAAAGATAGTATTTCCAAATTTTTATAAACTGATACATTTTGCATTAACATAGCCTATTAGTTCTACTACATGTGAAAGGAGTTTTTTAACGATTATAAAAATTAAAACATGGTTAAGAATATCAATGCAACAAAATAAATTTAATGAACTTTCAATATTATATATTGAAAAAAATAAAACTATAGCTTTAAGTACTGAACATATTTTAAAATATTAATTTTATTATATGTTTTGGAAACTCCTTTTCTTTACAATGTTGTATATGTACTATAACTACTAAAATTTTTTTTTATTAATTAAATTCAGACTTTTTCAGCCTAGATCTAAAGCTACAAATATTATTTAATTATTTTCTATGCATGGTGTGTACAAAATATATTTATATATACGCAATAATACAAATAGTAAACCTTGTTATAATACTATATTTGATTTTATATAAGAATATTATTAGTAAGACGTGTTTGCTATTTTTTATTTTATACCAATTACTGAAATACTTAAGCGCTTCCTAATATTTCATAGGATCTCCGCCTATGGTCCAAAGTCACATTTCAACAATTAATTTCGAATGAACATTGACTTATATAATCAACTTTTAAATATATATAAAAGTAGCATTACTAATCACAAAAATAAATACTAATATGCGTGAAAGTATTTCCGTAAATTAACGTTCCCATTATTGCAAAAATTATACTGATTAACTTAATGGTAAATAAATATAATAATTGCTAAATGAATATTGATGGCTCGATATCCAATTTTTTTTATTAGTCATAAGTAGGATTCGGATTTATATGTATTAAAAAAACCAATATATATAGAATAACAAATAGCTCTATATGTTATAATAAAATAAAAATATGGAATTTAAAAAAAAAATAAAAATCTCTATATTAATGACAAAAAATGAAAAAAAAAAAATTAAGAATCTTAAAATGAAATTATGAAATTTAACCTTGATCTTGATGGCAATGAGATACCATAACATGTTCAAATTTTCGAAGTTAAATTGTCTACGGTTTGGTCGTAACATGTATTTGTAACGACTAAGGGAGGGCTCGACTTCAATAGACGTAATGGGTACAAATTTCATATTTCCACTGTCCAAAAGAGTGAGCTCATTCTGCAAATCATCCCATTCATTCCGCAATGTATGAGTATATCTCTAATTAATTTTAGACAGTTTAAAGCAGGATTTTTGTTTAATAGGTACACTGCATTTTTTCTTTTACTGCAACTCTCAATGGACTTTGTATTTGTTCTATGCATTTTACAGCTTCTACGATTCTAAACTTTGAATTAAAGTAATTTTTCTTGTCGAACATATCGAAATATCGATCATATAAAGATCGTAGATTTAATTCAATAATTGATACTATTTTATTTACGTACTTTTGGAAACATGGGAAATTGTCTGTATTGAATTATATACAGTATAAATTGTAAATGAACAAATGGTCGAAATATGTAAGAAACGATGGAATTATTGAAAAATATGTAAAAATTTGTACTTATGGTAAAATATGTAAAATAAATATAGTTAATTTCATTGGAAATCTCTTGAACCGAATTTATCACTTAACTAAATTAATTTATAAAGTCACAGTAAAAATATGTATTTACATATAAATTCGAGCCCTAGTCATAAGTATTGTTTTTCTATACTGACGGTACCTACATCACAGTACTCATGTTATCCGATCAATAATACAACCAATAATGCTGATCGTGTAAGGGCCGCATTTGCTTTGCTCTGCCTTTGGAGTCTCATTATATATTTCAATTTTTGGTTAAAAATAATTTTCTGTCTTCCACATTTAAATTTTGAAATATTTCACAAAAATGAGAAACTGAATTTTCTTTCTATTATTGGTATTACAGCAGAAGCCACTTATTAGGAACACTTTGAATCAAGGTGAAATGTAAATTAACCAATTGTTTTAATAAGGGATTGGTTTAATTTATTAAAAAAAAAAAAAATGTATAATTCGAAAAAATTATCTACTGTGAAAAAAAATGCATGCTAAATAAAATATGCGTTTATTGTTGTCTGTTGTTTTGCGTCGAGTATCTTGATGATCCTGGTTTCGTAAGAATGTTTCCCAAAGCCTTTTTCATTCGCACGGTGCAGGACTCTCCCGAGGACACTTAGGCTATAATTTCTTTACTTCATGGGGATGTTACGTTTTTTCTTCTTCATCATCAGTGACTGCATGTTAAATTATTTGAGTATTCATAAACGTATTACAGATCTCTTTTTTCTGATGAAACTTCTGCAACTTCGAGGTGTGAGCAGGGGCGGATCCAGAATCGGGGAACTGTGGGTCAAGCTATTTCAAAAGGCCACAATCAGAATATTTCGACGACTTTGGCTCTTATCGTTCCATATAATCGATGTGTTTGAATAATGTGATTGAATTACGATGTTATAATATACGGCCGATCCGTTCCTAGACATTTTGTTTCAATTAGGCAATTGTATCAATTATCTGTGTTCCTAATAAGTGGCTTCTACTGTATTTATTTACACTACAAATTACATTAAATCAATTTTAATCTGTGTTTAATTAAGTTTTCGAAAAGACAAGCTGATCTCACTGAGCATTATAGCGTTTTTAGCGAAACATTGTTTAATTTCCCAGGAAACAATTTATCGATGACAATGACAATGACTGTAATCACAGATTAGATTAATCTATTCTGTGCTGTAACTAAGTAAACGCATTATTAAAATGTATAATAAAAGTATAGGTTTACGTATAACACTGTTATTGGCAGTCAATATTTAATTGTCGTAATCGTAAACATATAAGTTTATAATAAGAAAATTGTACATGGTTAATTGATTTACAATTATTGTTATCCAGCGGTGGTGTTAAGGAGGGGGACAGATCACGCATTTAGGTTGTGATATATTTGATATTTTATATATTTTGTCTTATAGGTAACTAAAATGCTATGCTATGGTTTTTTGTTAGTATAAGAATTACATTTGAAGACTAAGTAATCAATTATTAATGGGTTAAATATTTTTTGTTTTCATATATTATAAGGTAATGTAAAGTCGAGTATAGTTTAGACATGGTTTAACGGTGCAAACGTTTATAATGTATTTTGAGAATTAAGTGAAAAAAAACATAATAATACAATTATATAAAAAAAAAAACGTGTAATTATCGCAATTGCATAACAATAAGAAATGCAACTCATCAGCTGCATCACATTTCAGATTGTTAAAAACACCCAAAAAACATTAAAGATTGAATTTTTTTTATTAATGTTAATTTTACAATTTTGAATGACTACAAATGTATAATATCAAAGAAAACCATCGATAATGGGTCATAAGTGATTCTTGTTCTACATAATATTATAAATTTATAAATGTAATAAAAAATTTACGTAAAAATAAAACTTATTTAAAATAGAAAAACAAATTGTATTAAAATACTGATGTATTTCAAAATGTAATAATAAAAAATAATATACATGTATTGGATCGGTCCTGTTTTAATGAGTCCGTAGTCAATATCGCGCAGAGCAGGTGGCGCCACGTGTGTGTTTATCATGCTGCGTGGCTTATCTGGTCAGTGCTCATTAATGTTATGTTGTCTTCTCATGGTCATGTGATGTTCGCGATTTCGTTTCGGTAAACACCAACGTTTATTATTTTATGGTAAATACTATTCAAGTTTCCAGTCAAAACTTGTCGTTACTTTCATCCATTTGGCTGATCGGTTGGTATTCGCTTTAACGCCGTTGTAGTTATATCGATCGACGAAGTAAGTGTTTCACTATTCGTGTCAACGGGTGACTTTGCACAAGCGCCGACATGATTATAGTGCATTTGGTGTTTTTCAGATGAACGTTAAGAAAAAAATTATACCTGTGATATGTTTGATGTCTGCGTATGTGCACTGGATCAAGCCGCGTTTACTATCGGCCTCTGCGTCCAGAGGTGGTAAGTCCCTGCTGTTGCACCTTTGTGCCCGTTCCAGATTTCTTATACCCATGATCGTACTCACGGCATTTTGGATATTTGACGCTCAAATGCAATTCGAAGCTTCCGTTAGTTTGACGCTCAGTCGTAACGTGCGGATAACAGTCGGAGCGGAAGGCCAGTTACCCCAAATGGATGCTCTTGATGATGATGGTGCTGATGATGAAACATATTCTGTTGATGCGTACTCGGAAATTTCTTCAGATATGTCCAACATAAGTGATTATGATAATATCGGTTCTGCAATACAAGATTTTGTTGACAATGATGGGACTTCTAGAAATTTTTCCATGGAGTAAGTTATAATGTAATGCTATTATTATTTTTTTTTTTTATCAATCTCACTAATTTAGGGATTTTAATTTAATAACTCGTATGATACTTTGTATTTAGTATTTATAATATTATTTATCACAAAATGAAATGACTATAAGTGTAAATCAATTAAATTTTTGTTGTGATACAATACATTATATATGAACAATAGTTAGTGTAGGGATTTTTTTGGTTTTGAATTTAAATTTAATAAAATAATGTGACAAAAAAATATTATATTATTATTATATAATAACATATAATTTACTTCTTTGAATATTTATTGACTTTTAAAAAATAAAAAATAAAATAGTAATCTGTAATAATCAAGATTTTTGAAGTTTAACATATTTTTAGATTAATATATATTTGGATTATCAACTTTTCATTTTGATATTTATTTAACTTTCTACTGGGTTTGGTTAACCATGGATATTAACTTATTTGATTGCAATTACTATGTAACACCATATAAATATTAGTGAATATATCATATTTAGTTGTTTTCTAGTCCAACTTGAAATTTAAAAGCTTGGTTTGATAAGTATTCAGGGACAGTAAATTTAATTTGAAATAACTTTCTCATATATAATAATAACTTATAATATAAATATATAATAATAATCTTGTTTTTAGTGTTTTTTTGTTTTATTCTTTTCTTTTTTTTTCTTTGAAGTTTTGATTTTATTGAACGGGATATTGATTTGTGTATTTAAATTATGATTTTTTTTGGTATTATGTTAAACACTATATCGTTTTTCATTATATTTAATATCCTACTACAGTAATAATAATTATGTAGTTAATTTTGAATTTTCTGTTTTTAACTCTAGAGCATTATTAATATAATACTATTATGCTTTATTTGGCGTGCAAAATTTTATCCACTGTCAGGTGGCATCATTTTTAGATCCTGTTAAGACTTTATTAACGATAGTTTATTTAATTTAAAATTGAATGTTGAGTATTTAAATTTCTAGAATAGAACAAAAACTGAGTTTTTTGCACGGTGTCCCAGAGAACCCAATAATATAATCTCATTTTATTTAGTGATATGCATACTCAAATGCATTCATACATAATTAAAATTTTTCCTTAAGTGAGCTGTATAAATGTTAAACAAATTACACTTGTGTGATTTTGATCAGATTTTTTTATTTTATTTTATTTATTTTTTGTCTGTCTACACAGTTTTAATTAAAAGGCTTGATTTAATTATTAAAAGGAGTATTGGAGTTTTTTGATTGGAAATGTTGCTTAGTTTTGAATGGTCATTTTTTGAATTTATTAATAATTTTTAAAATAATTGAGAGCAACTGACTAAAAATTACTACAAAAAATAAAACTGCACATTAACATTTTAGTTGTAACTTGAAAAATTAAATGAGACTTTTTACTGAATGTTAGTAATACTTATCTTTAAAAATAATATGATTTTCAAAAGATTTTGCTTTCATTTATGTTATCTATAGAAAGTTAAAATTCTCATATTTTCTTAGTATTTTTCCGATAAAATAATTACAATTTACATATATTGTTTATATTTTATGATTTTATGTTTTCAAGTTGAAAAAACAATCCTTAAATATTTCATTTTTAAAGTGAAATATATGTTTCATTTGTTAACCATTATAACTGTCTTTTCACATTCTAAATTAAAAATGATTATCTAATTTAAAAATAATTTGGTGTATAAAGTGAATAAGTAAATAATGTTATACACTTTTACTTTTATAAATTGTTTATAAAGTTTTTAATTTTAATGTATATAAAATTATTAAAAGCAAATTTATATTTATTCAGTTAGAAGAAACATTATAAATAAATTCATAAATACCACACCTTACAGATTTAGATTCAATTTTAATTTATTTTTTCATTAATCGTTGTTTATTTTTACTTTTTGATGTAACCCTGAAATAAATAAAAAAAAAAATAGTTAAATATATTTTTATTTTATTTAATATCAACGCTTATCTTTTGATTTGGAACATAAAAAAATTCTTTTGCATTTATTAAATATATACAAGTAATGAATATTAACAATTTAAATTTTATAAATTGATCAAACAAATGTAACATTAAAAATATGACAAACAAATTAAAGTATATGACTAAATCAATTATTTTTTTAAATATGGTAAAATACACAGAATGATAAATGATTTCATAACAATAATTCAAATCAATGTTAAAAGTTTTATGAAATAAGGTTCTGTTTCTAGTTGATAAATTACTATGAACGAAGTAAGGAATAGAATCATGTATATATTTTTTTTAAAATTTGAGTAAAGCAAGTAGTATTGCTTTTGTGATTATGGATGGTTACATTTGTGTTACAAAAGTGCTCTGAAGTATGTTTGCAATAATTATTAGGTATGTAATTGAATGTGGGCAAATTATGGTATCATAGAATGGTAACTTTTTATAGGTTTTTCTGATATAAAATAAACACACTTGATATAAAACTCGAGAATATTACATTTCATCCAACAAGCGTTAACATTTATTTTAACAAAATTAATAGTTTTTTAGTCTTTAAGTCGAACTCAAAGAATATACCTATTTTAAATATTGAAGTTGATTTATTAGTGTGATATATAATTAAATATTCAAATTGATGGTGTATAGTTGGTGTATTATTAATTATATAAATTATTTGTTACAGAAGTTCATTAAGAAACCAGCAGCCATAAAATATTAAAGGTATTTATCACATATAATGACCATTTTGGAGTTTGATTGTGTTTAAAGGATGTATTTATTTACATATATGATGTACATTTATATATAATATTATAATACTATACTTATATAATATATGAAAACTATGTATATTACTCGTTTATCTAGTGCTTCTGCTGGGTGTTTGGAATTTTCTAATATGTGATACAAGAAATCCATTAATTTTGATATTTTGTCAAAAACAGTGATCCGAGAATTGCGTAGTAAAATAACAGGACTTTCTTGATTTATATTAGCATTTTCTCATGAAGTGTTTCTAACTCATATTTTAATATTGTCTATATGTGTTAGTGAAACAACAACAATTTTGACTGAATTTGATAATAACATATATTCATATTGTATAAATAAAATAATATAATATTAATATGTAATATATATTTGCTTATAGGTAGTACTCATTGTATCTTAATGTTTATTACAGGATACATACATTTGATATATTTAATGAATATATATTTATTTTACAATAAATAACAAAAATTCAAATTGTTAAGATTTTGAGCACTTACATTTTTAGATAGTGTTGCATTAATTTTTTTACTGCATAGGTTGTTCAAGACGCTGTTAAAAACATGACTACGACTAACTTATATTAATAACCATGAGAAGACTGATGTACAAAGTTTTATTTGGCAGTATTTACGATTTCTGAACTTGTATTTTGAAATGTTATCCATTTTAAGAAGTTGTAATTAATAAAATTTCTAGCGTTGAAAATATTTTACGTATTAATAACTTATATATATATATATATATATATATGTATATGATATAATGTACGTTTAATATATATATATATATAAACTTTTTTTTCTATTGTATACAATCGAGTTTTTATTTACATCAAAAAATACCTAAAATGCTCTTTTATATGTTTACAATTGACAAAAAGTCATATACTTATGTTTAGATTTTAGGATTTTGGTATTTTAATAACATATAATATAACGTAACATAAAAGCAACAAAGTGATAATTTGATTTATGATTAAATTAATTTTAACATATGTAATATAATATATATTTATTTATTTATTGATAAATATATAATATGTAAATACTATATATACTTATATTAATATATATTTAATTTCTATAATAAAGTCGATTAACTGACTGTATTTTAACTATCATTGTACAGTGAATTTCTGTATATTAGTTTTTGTTCTGTTATTGAGCTTGGTTTGCTAGACTAATATTGTATCTTGTTTTTGTGTTTTATCTGAAACAGAATAACAAATCAATCATCAGTATAGTGTATGTTAAAATTGTCAAGTTTCTTCAACCAACGTGTTATTATTTAGTATTATATTTTATAAATATTTTCACTAAATATTTATAATATATTGTTCCTCTCAGTCATTGACTATATGTATTGTTAGATATGTTGACCGAATTTTAGAAAATAAAATAATTGTAAAAATTATAATATTTAAATCATAGCTCAGTGAAACAAACTCTCTCCTATAAATGTTACCTGGAATGGTTGTCCCACCCTAGCTCCCTAAATACGCTACTGGAATTGATTCTGTTAAACTCGGCCTATGATTATCTGATATTTAATAAACCGTTTAGGTTATCCTGGTATAAGCTTAAGATTTTCCAAACAAACAGACCACAGACGTCGAAGGGGTATGTTTTTAATTTGAAATAATAAATAAGAAAAACTCAACAGTCGAACTTTGTATTGTGTTTTCTACCAAGCGATCAAATTACTCGGACAACATGTCCGCTATATTTTTCGTATAAGAACGTCAAATTAAAAAAAAAGAAAGAAAAAAAATGAGAAATAAAAGAAAAATCGAAATAATCATTTCGTTATTTTTAACAACGGTGTTTTCAACGGCTATAATATTTCCAAGCACATCATCACATCATCGCGCTTACGTTACAACGATAAAAACGGAATGGAAATAAAAATATAAGCTCCACTGTGTTGTTGCCGCGTTTATACACATAAACACGTACACCCATTATACGCGTGTGCTTTGGTCATGAAAAAAAAAAAAATTGCTATCGTTAAAATAGAATAATATCAGTAGAATTTGATTACGTAGGTAATTTCGTACGAGGACTGAGAGAGACAGCTGCGGTGCGTATTGTGCGACGAGCGTTTCGCCATTTCACTTTGTTCTAATTACTCGTGGCCATTTTCAGGGGTGGACTTCGGTATACGGTAGCCCCTGGGTACAATGCAACATTTATTATCATATTTAGCTGTGCCGTCGTTAACTGGAAAGCAGTTTAGGCAATGGCCTAGGATCTCGCACTTAAAATAAATTCGGGGACTCACAATTTGTCAAGTTAGAATGCTAAGAAATATTTATGTGTAAAGAAATTGTACTGCTTTTGCAGTACAACGGGCCTCGCAAAATCTTGCGACGGTACTGGTATTTAGTGTTAGTAACAGTTAACAACTACTAATTTTAATAAAATATATTCGTAAAAACAATCAAATCGAGTATAAGTAATATCATCGTAATATCACGTTTGCTTTATAAGAACAAGTATCGCATAAACTGTGCAAGTGTAAGGAATTAAATAATAAACAATAAAAATAATAATTTCGAGTTATTCAAATTAAACGCATTGAGGTCTTTTATTTAGATTCCGAAACACTGTTCATTGTTAATAAACGCAAATACATTTAATATCTATGAGATAGAAATTACACTTTTAAACGTTTAAATAAAGTTCAATATTAGGGACTGAAATAAATATGTGTAAACATAAATTAAATATTTTTTTTGCATCCTAGTTTAATTATCATAAAGTTGTGGGACCCCTTGGGATTCAGCCCACTCAGTCCTTCCCTAAATCCGGCCCTAGACATTTCATATTCGTGTGGCGTAAACGATAAAAGAGATGAAAAAACGGCAAGTTCGAATTACAGCGCTATGTCATTACGGTTCGTCGATTTCAGCGCCGCCGGGAGGTTTCATGGGGCCGTAGATTTCTCTTTGCAAAGCTAAATTTTTCTTGGACGCCTTATTACCAGAGTTGAGCATTAGTCGAATAAAATATTATTTGATTGATTATTTTAATAAAAAAATTATTCTTCATTGATTTATTCTTAATTTTATTATTGATTTTTATTTACTATATTTTATTCATTATTCAGTTATTCGTTATTCATTATTCGCTATTCTCTATAATCATATAAATAATAAATTTAAATCCTAAATTATTATTTAGGATAAATAATTATTATTATTATTATTATATTTTTTCATTAATTTAAATCCTAAATAACGATATATAATAATAATAGACTTATTATTTAGACTTAAATAATATATATATATATATATATAAGTAATACATATTAATACTTATAATAATTGACAAAAATAAATTAAATATACTTTTATATTTAATATCATTCATGATTTTAACGAATAAATTAATTCAGTACACCACAAGTATTCAGAATAAAATATTGTTCTTTATTCATAAATAAATTAGTTATTCATGCTTTTATTTTTTATTCTTTATTTTGATTTGTTTTTGTCCAACTCTGCCTATTACTCGTATGACATATTTTTCTATTCTTCATAAATCGTGTAAAAACATTTTTCCTCAGTATGGATAGGTATTATATTTATATAATTTTTATTTTTACTCTGCCTCGTCTTTCCTCCAACTATTTGGGTCCCTACCTTTATTCAAAACTTCCAATCGTCTCGATTTTTTACATGTTTTGCACACACACAAACATCCCTCATATCTTTCTCAATCGTATCTAACTATCTCTTTTTTGGTCTTCCTCCTCTTTTTCCTTCAACGTGGATTTTAATAATCACTCTTAATTATACTTAATTGTTATCAATCATAAAGGGGTCGGCAATATATTATTGTTTATTCATTTATTATTATTATTACCTACTAATAATAGTATCGAAGTTAAAGATTCAAATAACATTCATATTTTAAACATATCTTAAACATTTTCGAATCCCATGAAAAGCTCGATGCTCTGAGCAGCGACCCTTAATGCCCTGCACTTTCGCCGGCGCTACTCGTTTTAGTAACTTGAAACACAGATCGGTCACAATGGTGAGAGACGTACCGGTACCGTACGAAATTCGTGAACTGTAGAAAGAGTCATAACACTTAAATGGGTTTTACAATTTTGAATGTTAGGCATATTTTTAACTCATCTGGTGACTGTTTCGTACAATATTTACTCGTGCGCTAAGTTTTGTTATAAACTGTCGTAACATTATGTGACCGTTGGGACTTTGAATGCCGATGATTAATGATGGATGACTAAGAGTTGGTTTCCAATTGTCGGATTTTATCCCGGGTTGTTAACAGTAGCGTTGCTTATCCTTTTTTCATTCACGTACCCCTTGATCATTCATGATCTTTCATCTTTCTGATGCTTACCTGATGCGTACCCTCAACTGTAAATTTGTCCATTTTTACAAAGGATTGATAAGAAATTATAAATTAAGTTTGAATTGGAAAATAAAATAAATAATTATGAAGTATTCAATTGTTCTAATCAGTATGCGTCATATAATGTATATGTGTATATACAAATAAAAATTTTTTACTGCGTTGTCAAGTACTTATTTTAATAACACAGGCATTTTTTTTGTTGCGAGGGAATGTTGATGTAATATACAATGACTACTCGTGCAATTTGCTGAAACTTTTTTGATCCTTGCAACAACGCCAGCAACATTACCCACCATGGCCTTTGCGCCATCTGTGCACACGTCAATACAATTGTTCTATGGTATTTAGTTTTCTATGAAAAAAGAATCAAGCATAGAAAAAAATTTACTTCCGCTTGTCGAGGATGGAAGTGGTTTGCAGAACAAAATATCTTCATGAAAAATACCAGAAAATTCATACCGTACAAATGTTATTATCACAGCTAATCCGACGACGTCTGTAGATTCGTCAAGTTGTAACGAAAATGTTGTTTGACTGATACGAGAAATTATGGTGTCTTTAACATCGTATGATAAATCCTGAATTCGACTTTATTATTTGATAAATGTATACTTGAGATCAAATTCGCAGTTTTTTCATCGACCATAAACTTCATTACTTTTACTAATAGTGGTTTTATAAGAGTTTCAGCGAGAGTCTGCGGTTTGCCAGCAAGAGCCAATTCATAACTTACTAAGTACGACGCTTTCAGTGCTTTTTCGGAATGTGTCTTTACATGAGATACAAATGTTTTCTGAGTTGAATGGAGTTCATCACTTTTTCTTTTGAAATAGCTTGGTTTTATTTGTGGAGTCGGGATGAGTTTCAAAATGTCGTCTAAGCTTAGAAGGGAACATTGAGCTATTAGGCAAAACTTTGTTACATACCACACACTGAGGACGTCCATCGGAAAATTTCGTGAATCCCATGTCTAAATATGAATCGTCATATTTTCGTTTTTTGTTTCCTTTCATAATTTCGACATCAGGTATCGTAGACTCTAAAGCAGAACTATATACATCTTGTTCCGAATGTAACTCTACGGAATTATTTTTGCTACAACTATTGTTATTTTCTTTTGATCGATCAACAGTTGTTGGCTGACGATTTTCAGGTCTGATGGAGCCCGTTTTGAACCACCGTTCCATTTCAGTAGAAATACACTGCGTTGTTCGTAAATTATCTAAGTAAAATAATAAAAAATGAAAAATGAATCAAAGAAAAAATACACGTCCATTGTTCATAAATACGCACAATAAAATAAAAAATTAACCGAATTCAATAAAATTATCACATGTCCGTCGTTCATCAATACGCGTGATAAACTGATAAAATAATGTTGTAATTGAGAATCAAACCTAAATTAAATGGTAGAAATTATCTAGTTTCTAGTATTGTCTAAATTAAATATTTGTACACAATTTTCTTATCGGGATTTTACACGTCATATCGGTGAGTTATGGTAAGTTGAGTGTTGAAAAGATTTTTAAGATATATATATTGGTTTAAATAATTAAAAATTACAAAATTATTAAATTTATGTGGTGTAACAAACGGAGCCCTTAAGAAACCATTGCGGAGCTTCAAGGGCTCCGTGGAGCACAGTTCAGGAACCGCTGGACTAGGTTATTGTCACAAGATAGATTGATGAGAAACAAACATAACCAATCAATTAAATATGTAACTATATTTATACATTTTCTTAGACATCGTAAAACCTAATAAAATATTATAAGATTATCGATTCGTACATAATTTGTAATATTTTTTAATTTTATTCCGGAATCAATTCGAACAGTTAAGTAAATATCGATCAGTAATGTTTCCGAGGACCAATTTCGCATTACCTTTGATGATGTCACGTTTCAATGTTTCATTACAATAGCTGCAGGTATCTACCGAACAGTTATTTGTCGATTCATTCGTTCCCTATTCTGAAGACCGTCGTTTTTTGTTGTGTAACTGGAAGGTGTGGTTTTTTTTTTTTATTATTTCCAACGCGTAAACATATCAAATCGTCAAAACGTTCGTTTCGTTGTTATATTAAATATAGTATAATTATAATTTAATTCATATTATTATATTATTTAGAATAATTTATTATGTTTAATATCATATTTATGTTTTTCTTGTCATACATAATTAATACCGATATCGAATCGTTCGTTGAACGTAATTATATATCCTTTACAGGCGATTATCGTGATTGTCGTGTATGGCGTGATATTTGATATACAAAAATAAATACGTTAGTTTTATATAATACCGACTTCCACACTGAACCTGTGCGTACGTTTGTTACATTTGATATTTTATGCTCTAGAAATTGACGAGATTTCGGTAATTGTTGCTAACTATTGCGTCAGAATAAATCAAACTTGTTAGCGGACAAGACATAAAATTAATATTATCGAAAAGTTAATACTAACGCCATATTGCCTATTACTTATAAAACCGATAAAAAGTTTTGATGGAGTTATGACTGGAGGCCGTAGTCCGTAATAATAAGAAAATTGTAACATTTTTTTTACGTATCAACGACGTCCGTCTAAATTTATATTCAGAAGAAACACTATCAATTCATCCTGCGAGTGCCTATAATATCTATACGTATGCACAACACGTATTTCAGCCTATCACATTTTCGTGCCTATATATATTTATCGGAGAAAAATATGAGGTCCTTGGGAACATTATAGAGGCGAAAAGCGCCATGGACTTAACCACCTACAGTTGAATATTTTTTGTTTTCCTAGCTTTTTTTCAAAAATATCGATAAAATAATATTGGTTTATGAAAATTTTATAAAAAGCTCCTCGCACATACCTATATTATACTGATTAATAAAAAAAAAAATTGAGTTTAATTAACGAAAAAATCACGAAAATTCAATACATTTTTGCAGTTAAAAAGTTATAAAACCGAAAGTTTTATAATTAAGGTTTAAAAATTGGATACAAGATTTTACTTAAGATTTTCTTGGAAAAAAATATTTTTACTAAAAATCACAAGGTTTTATTAATGTTGAATGAAATGTTGGCAAAATTGGATATTTAAGCAAATTTCCCATTAACGATGCAAGTTATTTAGTTATTATTCTATAAATATTAATTGTAGCAATTTATATATTTTACCGAGTACTTATATTAGCATTTTAAAGACATTTCATTGTTAAGAAATATTTTAATGACATTTATGCTGTTTGCATTTGACATTTTTGATTTCCCAAATTTCATAATCTTCTTTCTTTTTTTTTTTTTTTTGCAAATGTTTGAATATAAAAATTTAAATTTACTTTATTAAAAAATTAGATCCTAATATTAAATTAGTCATCTGTAGAACTAATTACTTTTGACCTCTTTCACTTTTTTAAAGAATCATGGTACATTAGTTTCAAGTTAGAAGAGCAATGCCATTCCTGACCGTACACCATATAGTGTCTTACCCGATCTAATTGTTTCTCTTCTTTTTTTTATCATTACATTTTGGCGGCCCATTCTCGAAAATTCCATACTGGTCGTAACAGGTGAAAAGACTGGATGTTTTTGAACTAATAGCACACTTGGCTGGTCTATTTTCCGTTAACCGTCATTAGAATGCTAGATACTTAATTTTTAAATTGTTTCGAATAAAATGTTTTAGATAAGAAGTGAAGTGCATATTTCGTAGCATATTATAATACCTTTAGAAGTATATTTTGAGGATTTTTTTTTTGTATGGAAATCCGTTCCATTGTCATAAGTTTATGTTGAATGACTTCAGGCCAAAAAACTAACTAGGTACACCATATTGCATTGAATACGTTTTAACTACGTGGACGTCACATTATTCAAGACGTTGTTTTTGGTAGGCCATGTACACATTACACGCCTCCGCAGCGAAGAAACGTAATTTTTGTCAAAGTATTAATAGAGGAAGTTCATCGGTTCTTATCTGCACAACAAACGTAGTCGGATCGGAGAGCGTCAATTTAACTTATGGAAATAATTCCCGTTGTGTGTACACTTCCGACGCGATCACGATAGGTACAGAACGATATCAGTAGTGGGTTCAACATAATTGTTCGTAATGCATCGTCCGTGACGGTTATAACGATTCGGTACAATAAATGTGTTCCACAACTCCGTCCGATGTATGAACGATGGGACTGGAACACTTTCAAATGTTTAAAGATTTGAATTTCTTTTCTTTTGTACACTACTTCGAAGTACTCATAAAACCGTAATCGGTTCGATGAACAAATAATATATGTCATCCACTATATCTCTTCGATCTTGACGATTTCATAAGTTAAATATTTGTTTTTGAAAATTCAAATTCTTATTTTCATGACCCGATGGCTACTATGTACGTCGGTATCGCAGTTCAATTGATTTGCGATTATTATTGATTCCAGCAGCAAATCCCAATATCTCAGCGTACCGCTGGAAGCGCCAGTAATTTATTTTTTCCCGCAACTTTCAGCGACACTGCGGTATAAAAACAGCACCGGAACGAGTTGATATTCGCGCGCTCGACTGCCAGAAAAACATCGATAGCAGAGAACGTTTGTGTATTATATTGCGGCCGGGATGAAGATAAAAAAAAAGAAAAAAAAAAACACTAAAAGGCTAGTATAAAACCGTGCGGGTTTAGCGGAACCTTGTTCGACGGCGGCAGCCAGCAGTGTGTTGGGACACGTCAAGCCAATGTACATATCAAATACGTTTTATATATTCTAAGCACAACGGCGGCGCGAGTAAGCTTTTGGGATAAAGGAATGATGCGGTTGTTTTTTGTCTCCGTTTTTTTTTTTTTTTTTGTCGGAAAACACTAAAAACGGTGAAAACGCGCTCCGTGGCATCGTGCATATCGACGAGGATACGTACAGTTCCTATATATATATACATAGGTACGTATTCGATTGTAATCTGAACATAAAAATACAAAAATGTAAATGGTCGGATTTTATTACGTCGTCTCGCTGTTATTAAACCAAAATGGCATTAGTTTTTATAAGACGATACGTTTTTAAAATCGAAAATGTACCTTTATGTTATGCCTATTTACACGCATAGTTCAACCCTTTGTGAGAGTTCGTCAATGGCGTAGGTAAACGTATCTCATAAATTATGAGTCATAATGAATACGAATTGCGCTCGACGTTAAAATAAAACAATTCAAATAATCAAGATAATTTTTGTGGCGAACCACAACGCACTTCGTATTTATTTAAGGAATTACCATTGTTATTGACGAAAGACCCCTCGTTGTAAGAACTTTAAATTATACCTTTGCTGATTTTTTTTGAAAAAATCTTTACAAAAGTAATTATTTTGTGTTTGATGTACAACAAACTGTGTGTTTTTAAAGTTAAATATCAGTATAAAGTTTTATGGTAAACAATTGAAGTGGACTTGAAGTTGTTTATCTTTGAATGATTTTCCTTAACTCGTTTGTCGAAACAAACTAAATTTTTTAAATCTTGGCTTCTTTTTACGGAAAAATTAAAGAAATTAGAAAACTTCGGCTGCTGTATTTTGTAAGCGAAACGTGTTTGGATTCTAACCATTGCATTTTATAAGAAATTTTCACTGGGCGACAAAAAATGTTATTTTCAAAATAGTCAATGTATAATACCATAGTACGATTATAGTATTACAAGTTTGTTTCGCATTATTTCGCCCAATCTTTTAAAATGCTGTCGACAGAGTATAATCACTGGGTGACATTTGTGTCTAGTTAACTAGTTAAAAAATACACTAACTCTAACAGTATGTGCTCATGCCTCGTATTATGTGTAAGCCGTTTTGATTTAGTATATAAGTCTTGTCAACTAACTTCCGAGGAAACTTATAATACAGCGGTAATTCATATTAATTTGTATTCCGACGAATCTCATGTAATGTCATGTGGGCCAGTGGCGTTATAGGTATTATTTTTACTATGGGCAAATTTACCAATAAGCATAGCTGCTGCTAAAATGTTTTATGTGGTTTTAATGATGATATAAATACGAGTAATAAAAATAGGGGTTGTGGAATTTTAGTTTTTGAATAAATATTTATAAATATAAAATAAATAAACAAATAGAGGTAGTTTATGTATAGAAATAAATAAATCAGTAAATAAAAGCTTAGCCTAGAGTATTATTATACTTGCAAAGTAC